CCGACTTAGACTTTCGTATATTGATTTCAGACCTAGATTAGATGTCGCAGTAGTGACTATAAGTACTTCCTAGTCTCTATCACTACGTACGAGCCCTTCCGGTCTCCGAGGGTATCATCGTTCGCATATGCGATGCCACTATTATCCTGCTGGTCCGTCTTGTGTTGGGTTAGGGGTAGATTATGACTATGGTAGGCATGGTAGCAGGTTTGGAGAGCATGGAATCAGCTCCACTCGGATATTGTGTGATGATTAGAGAAGACAACGAAGAAAATATTCTCAGTGTAGCACACATCATCATGGTGGAAATCTCGGCTAGGCGTAGTTACCATAGTGAGATGGCTGAAAGAAATCCGTATAGGAGAGGGTTGTGTTTGCACTGTGCTGTCCTATGTAGTACTATCTGTCATATATGAGTGTAGGGCAAGTGATAGTGGAGAGGTAGCCTTACATCGATCGGTAGAGGCAGGTCGGTATGGGGTAATGAAGTGGCTATGGAGCGGTATCTTGAGTGTCTTTTAGTGTGTTCTATTGGTCTTTCTACTATATAACATGTCAGAAGCTGAGAAGGCGTATATAACATCCTAGGGGTTCACCTATGATGACTTGCTAGTCGTTTACCTCTGTATGTGTGCTGTATGACCTTCCTCAAACAGTGTTGCGTTGATGGTTGCTGTCGACATCGGCGTGTTGGTCTGTGATAGGAGTGTGCCAGTCTGAAGCCATGCCAGGCGCCGTTAAGCTCTCGACTCAGCAAGTGGCTACGATGATAGCTAGTAGAACACCGAAGTGGACACAGGTAAGGAATGCGGGTTTATATACTAGGTTATGCACAAGGGGTATGCGTTATACGAGCTCTCGTTATGCGATCGTTAACAAGTCGAGGCGATGCGTGTTTGGAGTCGCCTTTTGAGAGTGCTTGGGAATGCACATCTGAGGAAAAGCGTAGTTGTTGACAGTCATCAGTAGCGTCGCAAGGAGAGAGGGGTTTTGAAGAGAGTGTACCTGACAGATTTACGGTAGGTTATTGTTGTTGGTGTAGGTAGGGGCAGCTGAGAAGATCAGCCGTAATTTCCAGTTCCGTAACTTCAATGAAGCCTTTGGTTTTATGACTAGAGTAGCCCTCTACGCTGAGAAGGTAGGGTTGGTGATAGCGTCATAGTCTATGGTCAACAACAGGCCGACCATCACCCCAACTGGTATAATGTCTATAACAAGGTGGATGTAGAGCTATCGACCCACGATGCTGGAGGGGTCACTGAGAAGGTAGGGGAGTCTTGCTTTCGTCGTGGTATGGCATGTTGATTTTTTCAGGATTTTTCTCTTGCTGAGAAGATGGACAAGATTGCTGCCACGATGGCGTCTTAGATTCGCGTTGGCGACATGACAGAGTTTTCCCAACAGGATTGTTTCTCAGCCTTTCTGTGTTGAGTTGTAGTCAAATTATTTTTCGGCACTGTGAGCTCCCCGAAGAGGCGCTTGAGTTCTCATCATTGCATTTCATGGTGGCTCTTTCTCCT